GCCTACACAGCCGTTCCCCATACAGATAGCTTAACACCTTTGTACGTACTTGCATTTGCCTTCTGCCTCTCTCTATCTGGTGGTCCCACAAGTGTTCCCGGCTGTCGCAGACATTCCACAGAACACAAAGTCACTGTTAAAAACAGCATATGTGGAACTAAATGAGAGGCCTTAGAAGGCCATCTGCATGCAGCCAGAGCTGAAGTTCAAACCCTGACTCAGCAATTCTTCAACATGATAGAGGAGCTTGACATCGCTCAGAGAGAACTGAAACAGTCCTGCGGACTGGACATGGACCCATGTAAAAGACAGCCTGCTGAGCATCACACCACCAGCAGTGCAAAGCCCCTTCACCCCTGTACACAGCTACGAAGGGGGGGAGCAGCGAAACAACTCCAAACACCAATCGGGTAAAGTCAAATGAAGCTAAGGTGAATTCAATGTCACAAATGAACTGAAATATGCTTGCAGTCCACAAGGTGAAAAGACAGGGAAATCACGACACAGAATCGGATCCTGAGAGTGGCCTCACCAGCAGCTTAAACAAGCCATCATAAAGGAATTCTCAGACCCAGAGTCTGAACACGGACTGATCGCTGCACTCGACACCAAGGGCCGGCATGAAACTCCCCATGCTTACTACCACAGACTTCGACGAGCTTACTTCGGAGCTCGCAATTACCCTGGGATGGCGGAGGACACCAGCTGCAAGAGCCTTTTCCTCCGAAACCTCCATCCTATTGTAAGTCACCATTTAGCATTATGACCTGCCACACAGTGCCTATTCAACAGCTGCGTGACCTATCACAGAAGGCCTTTAACAAGCACAAGGCCTCCACCAAAGGTGTTTGTAAGACCCCACTGATTCTGAACTGCACATCCCAGAATCCAAAGCAGTCACCAGAAGGCACCCAGAATTGCCACAATGTAGCCCTTCTACAGCAAACCACTCGCCAGCAGAGGACAGAGCCATCACCATGGCAACAGATCCAGGTTCCAGACGAACCACTGGGCGAAGCCATGGAAAAGGGCATCCTCATCCTGCAAATCACCACGGTATGTCCAACAGCAGTCCACCACAACATCCTCCTCCACACCCTTCACACAGTTGCCAAAAGGAGGCTACACAAGGATAGCTGGACACGCCTACTTCTGAGTTACAGGAGCTGCTGAAACTTGCAAAAGAGCTCCTTGAACAAAACTCAACTGAGGAGTACAAACTTCTGACGCCTTGCCTGACGCAACACAGCATCAGACCCCTCCAAGGGAGGAGCATCCCTTGAAACCGGTCGACACCCCAGAAGCAGCCAGACAACGTTGGATGGAGCAACGGGCCCACATGCCCAACAGTGAAACCTCTACCAACACAACTCAGGCAAGCTCAAGTCGGTGCCGCCACAAGAGCAAAGCGACACCGCAAACATCAGATTTCTAGTGACGTTCGAGCAAAACAGAGGGCTAACAACCACCTGCTGCTCTCCTGTCATCATCAGTATGTACCACAGATAGCCTACTGACTAATAACATCGACAAACTACAATCTTACCCAAACCAACTCACTTCAGGATGACTGGTGACACAGCCTTGACACCTGCTGCACAAGCTCTAGGACCCGCACCTTGCTTACAGCCTACATCACCACAGCGCATCCACCACGGCACCACAACCACTC